ACCTGAACGTGTGTGGTCGGCCTTATGATTCTGTCGTCATTGCATTCGCCACACGTTTACGTTCTTGAACTTGCACAACTTGACTTGATCGCACTTGGTACGACGATCAGTTACGATCTATCAACAGAGAGAGGTACCAGCGTGAATCACGAGAAGACTCGAGGAGTTACGACTCACGCGATCAACTATTTTCCGATTGTTATTGCATCGCGCCTGACGAGCGAGTATTAGTAAATACGCTCATTTGATCATCTCATCAAACTTTTCTTAACTTATTATTGCAGGAAAATCATAATTTTATAATTTAAAGCAGCTTTCGTAATTTTTTAATTCTAGATAAATGTTTTCTTTCAAAATCATATGATAAGAATTTATATAACAATAAAATTGATTAAAGATTACAGATTCTTAAATGAAAGTTTTCCTCAATCACAAAATCAGGTTATCCATTTTCTACGAAAAAAGATAAATATTGTATTTTTAATTTACATGATTAAAAATCAACTATTAATTATTACTTTTACTTTTATTACATCAATAATTTGATATATCAATAATGGTACATCAAATGCATACTTGATTTCTTGTTTATTAAAATGGTTTGTATTTGTAAATACGTCGTGAGTTTCCTGACGGTGATAATTTCTTAAATTCTTTCGTGAGAATTATACAATAAATCGAATTGGAAGGTGAAGGCTGACGTCTTTTGCAGTTTGTAGTTAGTTAGCTTCGTGGAAAGAATTGAAACGATTGAGGAGACCGAGAAGAATATCAACGGCTCGAGAAGAGACAGATAAATATTATTTACTACGATCCTCCCGCGCTAACTCGAACACGAAGATGAAGCTACTTGCGATAGTTCCCACCTTTTTCTCTTGGTTAATGATTGTCGATTGCGTGTTGACTACGAGATTTTGTGGTCCAGAGACGGGAGACGGTAAGTTTTAAAATCACAGTGTAACAACAGTGTGATACCTAATATAATATACCAAACTTTAATAAGAAATGCAACATATAAATCGATCGTCGTGGCGATTTATTAAATATAAATGTCAAGATTGACGAATTTTATAATTAATGTTCATTTATAATGTAGATTAACTTTAATCTCAGTTTAATTTATTCTTTATCTTTCTCTAAGAATTATAAAAAGTAAATTAAATTGAAATTAAAGTTAGCTTACATATTGGTATAAGAAAATGTTTTTATTATGACTTATGCAATCATGTTAATGCATGTTTTCATTTCATAGCAATAATTGCTCCAGTTTTTTTCAACAAAGAGATTATTGTTATTGAACAAGCATTTATTGCGACAAACACGTTCATTACCGAGTATCCTTGCATCGAAACACCTGTTCCTCATTTCAGATTTTCAACGCGCGCATGTCGGCCTGATTATATCGCCTATAATGTCCAGTCGAAAGATACGGGAGATCGAGATTTATTGGAATCACGCCAGGTATCGACCGGGCGATACGATCGCTCTTTACACGGGCGAGCCCACGAGCGGCCTCGAGCCAATTTATACTCTAATACCAAACGCACCGAGTGGTATAAAGAGGACCGGATTGCAGGCTACGTTTGTTCCCACCTCGAATCTCACGTTCGTTCAGCAATGCTTACGTACGTATGTGACATATACACACACACACACACACACACACACACACACACACACACACACACACACATCGCAATTACATAATTTCGATATAGATTATTAATCAAATCAAATATATTATAACATAATTATGTACGAGCAATTTTTTTGCATTTCTCCAAACTTGATTTTTTTCTAAAACAAACAATACGAAAATTGTCCCTTTAATTATTTTTTATGTTTTCTCATTATTATCTTTATTATATTAAAAAGTAAAAAACAAAATTGAAAAGAAAAATGTATGAACATGTTTTATATATAATTATATATGTTTATTATGTATGTTTATACATATTTATATATATTCATGCATGAAAAAATTTTTTCTTTTTGTTTATACTTTGTACATTTGGAATCTATTTTCCCGTGTATTCGTAGGCTTCATACTACAGAAAAATAATTTTTATGATGTTGATGATCGAACTTATTTAAAATAAAAATTTATAGAGTTTATATTCTTATCCAGATGTGATTATAGATTTTTATCTGTTAAAAACAAATTTGATTCATAAATAGATATAAATTGATAAAATCAAAATTTATCATAAAATTCATGAAAAAAGTATTTCATGAATAAGTAATTCATGAATAAAGTAAGAATTTAATGAAACTGAATCTTATGAACTTTGTATATTTATAGAATCCTTTTAAAGTTTTTTTCTTTGTAGGTTTGTAAATTAAACATCAAAATTATTTTTGTTTTCATCAATATTTCAACAAAATTTCTTTTAGAAATATAAATTTTTTATATTAATTAGTCACGTCTTAACATTACAAAATAATTTGTTATTGACTTATGCCCAATTTCTTCACTTCTAGATAAGTTGCGGATATATTTTATCCAGAAGATATCTCTATTGTAATCTGGGAGATATGGATAAAGTTATTTATAGAGGTGAAAAAATTGGGTATTATTTTTTGAACACTAAGAATAGTACCTAACAAATTATTTTTTAGAATTAGTAACTACTTACTTTCACAACGTAATTTTTCCTAACCTATACATGCAAATAGTAAATAATAAATAATAATAGGTATAAAAAGATGTTTTTGTAAATATTTTCAGACAAATATATTATATACAGCGAGTCTCGAATATAATTTTCAAATTATAAAAATCTTTTCATATATTTATATTGATTATAATGCACAAAAAATATCTGTCCATCTGAATTTATTGCAAGAACTAAATTATTTTTTATAATTCGAGAAACTTTTTTATACTTCGAGAAACAGTCTAAAGGCTGTTATATTTCTATTATTTTCTTCTTGTCATATATTTTGATGGTTTACATATATCCGAGCTTAACACAGAATTTCGCTTTAATAGAGTACCATGTTGCTTGGCTGAGAAATGACACGGTAAGAATGACAAACTGTCTGCAAACACAGCCTCACTGGATGTCAGAGAGGAGGGCTATCTTAGGATCACTGCCGATGAGCAGGGTATTCTTACCCGGTACTCACGATTCTGCGTCTTACGAGATATACGTAGAAGCGAACTCTGAGAATTTCGTCGAGAGATATGTGATAACGCAGGTAAATTCTAAATTAATAATAAAACTAAACAATTGCTTTATTTGCGTAAATCAAATAATCTACAAGTTTATCTCGTTGCGTCAATATTGATTCCGAATCAGAAGTCGCATGACTACAAAATCTCTGTTTCTACATCAGTTTTTCAATTGATTCGAGATTTCCTTTCAATTTAAATAGATTGAATTCAAATAGATTGCAAAATTGATTCGGGATTTCTTTTTGATTCAAACAAAACGCTTGTTACGCTCGAATAAAGTTTAATCTACAATATGCTCTTTGCTTTCTATTTCTTGCTTTTTATTGTTTGCTTTTTCCCTCTTTATAACCGTTTTATCGACAAATATTGCTTGTCTCTTCCGAAATTAACTTTTATCTCGAGCAATAAGAAACAAAGAAACAGGATAAGAGGCAAAAAGTAAAAAGAAACAGGAAGCAAGGAATATTGTAAATCAAGATTAATTGGCAGAAATATTCGAGCGACATTAAAGAGAGCTTACGCATTAAAGTCAAATAAGAATTAAATATGGAATAACCGTTGCTGGTAATCGTTAGGATAATTAAACTGCAGGATGTAGACGTGCTCGCGCAATTGATCTACGGAGTTAGATATCTCGACATCAGAGTCGGACATTACCCCCATACTAATATAGTATGGTGGGTGAATCATGGAATATTCAGTATTGTTCCTATGCAGGCCATCATAAATCAGGTGAAGACCTTCCTCGACAAGACGAACGAAATCGTAATATTCGACATCCAGGAATTTCCAGTTGGTAATATATTTTAGCGTTAAAACAAACGGCCAACAACTCTTATTCAGGCAAAAATAATACAACTATGAATGCAACATTCTTTTCTATGCTCTTTAAAATATACGTGCTTTTAAAATACATTTGAAATACTGTTATGCTAGAATGCCGTTGTTGAATTCATTCGCAATACTCTTACATTAAAAATGCCATTGATTCAAAAGATTATTAATTTAGTGTAAAATTTTATATAATAAACAAAAAACAAAAATTAATGGATTTTGGGAATTAATGAATTAAATTATAAAAGCCATTCGTCATATATTCAAAAAAGATTCATCAGATTCTAAAATACCTTATCATCTGATCTAATTATCATTATCGGAACTAATCCTATCTAAAATCTTTTTTGTTTCGTATTGAATCGAAACGAGTACAACGGATTATGAATAAATGAAATATAGAGAACAAAACACAAGGCTAACATTACATCATGATGTGATTTATCAACTCTACTCAATTAATAATAATAACAACAGCAAGATTATGCAAGTCGTAGCTAGCACTTATGTAAATTATATAAATTATATCTATAAATATATTTCACATAAATAATAAAATTATTTATGTGAAAATATGCTGATGGTGTTGTTAGGCTTCGGAAAAAATCTGGCGGTACATCATGACTTCGTTGCATTTCTCGAAGAACAATTTGCTGGGTACTACTTGCCGAAGAGTTACGGATGGGCCAGTACGCTAAATACGATCTGGTCATCCGGGAAAAAACTTATTATTGGTTATGATGAGAGACGAATCGTCAATCGCTATGAAAGTATATGGCCTTGTGTGACACATCAATGGGGAAATGTTAGGACTATCGAAGACTTGTTCAACCATTTGAATCGCATCGAAACGGAAAGTCTTGGGTATGTGAATCTTATAAAACCAAATACTAAATAGTCCTAAACTATCTAAGACCATTCTTTTCATCATATCTATTTTTGATAATCGAGTGAAGTAATGTTTTTCGCAATAAATTACTCGCAGATTTAAGATTCTCATTAGTCATTAACAACATATTAATATTTTTATAAAGATGTGTGAATATTTTATAAAGATGATTTTATAAAGATTCTTATTAGCATCAAAAATTGTTAAAATATTTGTCAATTTAAAAAGTAATATTACTACTCTGATTCTATTCATAACTGTTTCAAGACCGAAAAAAATTTCGGCACGAGGTTTGTAGAATGAGATATGTATATAAAGTCACATAGAAATATTTCAGCAATAAGATCCGACTTAAATATAGGATTTCTCTTATTTAACTAGATCTATTTTTGATTTTATAAATATTTTCGCTACTTGAGAGGTATTGTTTCAAGTCAAATATATGACAGACGGATATCTTAGTACACTTACACTTCATCTAGAATCTAGGTCTTAATAACCTAGGCTGAACCTATTAAGTTTTTAATAATCTTAATTGTTAGCTGGGTATGTAAAAAAGATCTTTAATTTTGCTCTTTATCTCTGTACAGCATGAAGAGATATAATCTAAATTTAGAGCTGGGCATGTTTTTAAAATACTTTTATTTAAAACACAGTATTTGCAATACAAGTGTATTTCCACGAAGCACATAAAAGTATTACGTATTTTGTATTTAAAATTGAAAGATTGAAAGTTTTTTGTATTTTATAATATTTTATAATAAGATTGATTGTCAATCTTAATATTTAAAATGCAAAATATAAAACTTTTATATACTCTCATGAAATACAAAATACAAACTTATTTTCACGTGCTCCTTTAAAATATAAAATACAATTGTTTTACAAATATTGTTTTTTAAATAAAAGTATTTTAAATACATGCCCTGCGCAAATTTTAATTTCGTCAATCTGGCGATTCTCGTTTCAGACAATCTAAATCAATACCAAGATCGGCGATGGCAGAACTAACGCCCAATACGTGGGATATAATTTTAAATCGGCTTGGAAGTATCCGCCAAATGGCGGAAAATGTTAATATCAACGTTACAAATTGGTACAACAGCAAATGGCAAAGCACAGCCAATATCGTTGCTGTCGATTTCGTTCGATCGTCCGGTATCATCGAAACCGCGATTGAATGGAACGAAAGACGAAATTCGCATTGTTAAAATCTTTCCTATTCCCCGTAATGCGAGAATTGAAAAAACGTACAAACTAAAGTTTATTAATGCACATTAATTCATAGTGCACATTATATATTCGAACAAATCAGTTTTTATACAAATACTAAGTACTTAACTTATTATTTTGCTTCTATGATTTTATTTACAGTTACATGTTGTATGAATATTAAATTTTATATACAAAGTGGGCCATGTAATTAAGCAATATCTAATAAAAAGATGTAAATATCTTTCAAAATTCATTCTTCATTTTTTCATTAAAAGTAGAAATATAAACACATATTTTTTTTTAATTCAAACCTATTAAATAATAATATTGCTACGTGTGTGTGTGTGTGTGTGTGTGTGTGTGTGTGTGTGGATTCATCGCAGTATTTAAACAAAAAAATTTAAATATCTCGTTTTAATTAGGTAATTTAAATTTACTTTAATATAAAAATAATTACATCAACCCTCTATTGCCTTCTCAAGAAATCTAGGTAACGCAGTTAATCACATAATACGTTTGCTTTTTCGCGTGATCATCATAGTTCCGCCGGATATGCGAATAATGCTCTAGTCAAGGTAACCCAGAGAAACGAAATTGTCGTATACAGGTACGCGATGCAACGAAATCAGTTCATCATCCGGTACAGACGATGTTAGTCGCGAATACGAAACTGACGAGATCTAATCCGTCGCGTTTCAATATAGAAAATGATTTATATATAGACACAACTTACATATAGACACGATTTTCAGAAAAAGAATCTGAGAGAGAACGATAATCTCTTTAAAAAGTCGACAAGCTGCTATATTCCTTTTATGAAAAGAGTCGTTTTATTAGATTTCGCTATTCGAAGTCAACTGACAACGTCGAGATAACCACTTATACGAAACTTTTATTCTCGTCGTGTGACCATCTCGTTTGCATTTATATCCAGAAAATGTGCTGCCTGTTGCTACTGCTTTTACTGCCAATCGTAACTTCGGAGTTGTGCGACAATCCTTGGTATCAGTACGATACCATTTGCCAAAATAATTCTCTTTCTTGTCCTAGTGATCAAAAATGCGTGTTCATCGAGTACTGCCCGGGGGTTGTATCCCTAATGGATCGAAACGCGCTTTCCTCTCACAGGTAACGTGATTATTGTCTTTTTATATCGAAGGGACGAGTATACATATTTACACACGTCGATTTTTTTTAAGCGCAGATTACGACAAGCGGTATGCGGGTACGATCGAACACATGTAAAAATTTGCTGCAGCGTTAATAGTTACATCGAACGGCCAGTATATCCAGATAGAAATCTGGATGTATCCACGACGCAACTATCTTCAAATTTTCAGTGTGGAAGAAGTATTGTTCGGAGTAACGTAAACATTTTAGGATCATATCCTTTTGTCGCAAGAATCGGTTTCATAAGCAAGTACTTTGCATGTATACGGAAATACTTATATTATACAGAATGTCCCAGAACTGCTAATTATCTCTAAAGTGTAACACAGCTGTAAAAAAATCATCAATTTTTCATTGATGATATTAAAAGTACTGATTCCAAATTTATCGATGAAAATGCAAGACAAAGAATTTCTGTGACATCATGTACACAGCAAAAATTATATACATATTTTGTTCGAAGGAGAGAAAGAGAGAAAGTTAACTATATTTCTTTTATTATATAAGACATGCGTTTTTAGACTGTTAGCAAAAATTCGCTTTTAGATACATTAACGGGTGAGATCAAATATTCGTGCAATGGCGTGATTGTTAATGAGCGTACTGTATTGACTACAGCTACATGCGCACTCGCGAAATCGGACAGATACAAATTGTACGTATATAGCAGTCGAAAATAAAATATAACGAATGATCGTTACTCATATTTTCGATCGTAGCATTAAATTGTAGCATGCAGTAATTATAATAATCCTTATTTATCTTTAGATGCTCTGTGCTTATTGGTGAATATAATACAGAGTCGAATCCAGATTGTAATAATTTGTTTTGCGGACACAAAACCAGTAGCCACGACATATCGTATGTAGTAAAACATCCGGGCTACAACGCCGCAAGTTATTCCAACAACGTTGCCTTACTTCGCTTGAAGAAGGCTATCGAATTTACAGGTATGTACAGTTCTTAAATATACAGTCGAAGATACTGTGATGATCACAGCTTCAATATGGGAGAAAATAGCAATCCGGTCTTCTTCAGCCACAGCTCAACCAATCTGCTTTATACCGGAAGACAGATACGTCAGCCTAGGAAGTACATGCACTGTTGTCGGCTGGGGAAAATTGTTAGGTCAAAAAGGTATTAATAGAACAAACTATCATAAAGCATAAACTGTAAGCTGTGTTTATGTAACGTTCAAGTGCTGTAACCCTGTGATCCAGCGCAACCATTGACGCAACAGTCATTACAACTAGAACTCGTACCTAAGCAGCAGTGCTCGGACTATATAAGCCAAGCTCTATCTGTAGAATTATGCGCCAAAGGAAACTGTGAACCTTGCTCAAGTTACAGCGGTAGTCCTCTGTTATACAAATATGCGGACATGTACTTCTTGGTATGTTATCAACATAAATATTTACATATACTACAAATGTAGTTCACATATTTATGTTTTTCATTTTTTATTTTTTAATCAGGTTGGAATCCTATCATTTGGGTCTAGTTGTGACTCAAGCACCATTTTTCCATCTGCATTTGTAAATGTACAGAGATATACAAAGTGGATTTTAGAAAATTCTTAAAGTTAGAAAAATATAAAAAACGTCTTGAAACGTTTCTTAAGAATGCCGATTGTGGTATTACATTTTCACGAGTTTTATTTTTTGCAAATCTAAAATTGATTATTTATGTTTAAATATATTCAAATATTTGCCGCGTGTCATTTCCTTAGCCTCTTCTAGACCCAGTTGATAAGCTAAATCGTGCAGTCTTTTCACTTCCGAGATAAGCCCGGTCATTGACAAATTACCCAGTTCTGCAAGAAAATATTTTACGGTATTTAGCAATGAGATGAAGAATTATATGTTATGCAGCATATCAACTCACGATGCACATGGCTTATGTCATCCTGCGACATCGCAGCCCAAAAACATGGTTCTGTCTGCGGTGAATTTTGAGCAACAAACTCATGTACACCTGGAACTTCATTGCTCGCTACATATATGATGTATTGTGTATACATGACTCATAAATAATCCTTAAAAAATTTACTCACTCTGCTCAGGCCATAAATCAGGAGATGCTCTGTCCAATTTCTCTAGACTCATGAGACTCTCCTCTATGCAAGACAAGTCTATAAAACAAGAGTCAACTATTTTTATTTTCTTTGCAGTTGAAATACTTTTATTATAATATTAAAAAACATTA